TCAGCATATTCATAATATTGAACATTGTCATCACGTTCTGTTGTTGGGCAGCGTTTGATGGCTAAAGTTTCCATTTTAAGAAAATTCCTAAACCCTCTAAGTTATACCTGTAGAATTTTGAAAAATTAGTCTGACGAGGCTAACTGGGTAACATTAATGTTCTACACTTCACTGAGAGGAAGAAGAGTTTATCACTTGACCCATGAGCTATTTGCAGGTAGCTCTATTCGTGAGAAATTTTTGAGGCAATCGACATGGCAAATAAATTGATCAGGGGAGAATATCCACTGCTCCAAAGACTCATTTAAGCTCCTAGGTGTTGTATATAACCAGGTTTATTTTAAGCGCATCGAACTAGTCAGCTTAGAATAATCACTTTCTTGTCAACTCCAGCACAATAATGGTAATTATAAAGTGTTCTCAGCAGAATGAGAGAGAGCAGCAAGTTCCAATTTTGGCTTTCCCACGAAAACTCTTCCCATCATTCGCATCATTGCAACACGTTGCATACACACAAATGCGAGTGATGCGTGAGTTGCGCGGGACGCGTGCACGTTAGAGCCGTAATTATGGTCGACCTCCAAACTTGCCTTTAATTGATTTGTTTGAACAATGATCGTTCGGGCTATTGTCACTATGTGCGGTTGGTGCCAGTGTTTGCGCGCAATGAATACACATACACGCATACACATGCACCTCTACACATCCATCATCAGTTACAGTAATACGCGAGTAAGCGTTGAAAAGACAACGGAGGATAGAAATTAAGTAAGGGCAAATTTACTGGCTTATATAGGGGCAAAGACCTAAGAGATAGCATCTATTACCTGTAGATGTAATTTATGAGCTAATCAACATAGACGATCATCCAACAATTTCAAGAAATTGAAGGTACGAATTGGCTAGCATCATTGGTTAAAAGAGCTTCATTACGAGAAAAATTGAAAAACGTTGGCATGGTCCTCAAAATTGCCAAAATTACTTCTGTCCAAAAGAATAGGTTTTCTTACCCAAACCGATAACTGCAGCGTTCTCCATTTTAGTCTTACTATTTATAAAGGGTCAACTATAAGTGGTTATGCTTGCCACACACTGAAATCTGCCGTGAGCAACAAAACTTGCAGTTGTTCACGGCAAAATACTTGAGCAACTACAAGTAAAGTTGCTGACTTCAAACAAGTGCAATACCAAAGCAACTTCATGTCTACAGTCACTCTATCATTGAGTTGTTTTGGTGTGGAAATCCATGAAGTTGGAGCTGCAACTAGGAGCTACCACTATGGAGAAGGGATCGGGGAAGGGGAAAGGAGGAAAGAGGTTATGAGGGAGGGGAAGGTGAAGAGAAACCTCAAATGGACTATTTTATAATTTAGAAAATCATGACATATAGCATAATCATGTGAAGCAAACAAGCAATTTCGCATGGCAGTTTCTCAAAAATTGATTTCTCCGCTGACACCAACTATTTTGCAATTTCACAAATTCTTCCGCTTTTGGAAAAATCCATGCCATACTGCTACGATACCTCAATCCCTTTCTAGCCAATCAAGGGTCTGCAGAACTGACAATGTCGAGGGTTGACGGCTGCGTGGACGGATTTGCAGAGCGGAATTGATTTCGCGGTCGCTCATTTACATGAGAATAAACAGTACGCTCATGGTGCCAGCCTAGGACAATAACACACCTCTCACGCGCATACCGCTTAAGAACACGTTGACGAGGCAGAGATATGAGATCGCAAATATGTGTGGTGAGCTCATGAGCACATATTATGGCTAATATCGGGTCAATGAGTACGGCTCTAACCTCATCGTCGCGACTTAACAGCTCTTGGATGATCTTCTGCGGCGGACCGCCAGGTTGTTCCAACACCGGTTTCGATGGATCCACTTCACCGGCACTGACCAGATCTGCGATTTTGCTCATTCGCGACTGGTGAGCGACTGACCTGTAATGGGATATCTTCTTATAGAGTTTGATAGAGCGTGCGATCGCAATATGAGCACAACGTTATTTCTCTGTTCAAAGTGGATACGGTGAAATAAATCAGCGTGCGAGAGCATTA